GAAAGAGGTGGGAGAGACCCCGGGGCTGGGGAGGGATGGAAAGGGCGACCTAGGGAGGAATCCCCAGGTGTCTCACAACAGCCCAGGGTGAGGAGCCAGCAGCAGGCAGGGTCTGCCAGTGCTTTAGGGTTTTTCACCTGAGCCCTAATATTGGCACTTTGCTCAAAACCTGAAGCACCAGGAAAACATGCTGCGGTTAGCTAGGACCATGAAAACACAAAATGCAGAAGAACAATGAAAGGAAAATGAGCTGCATTTATTTTTCTGTCCAAGCACATGATTTCTTGGACCTGAGTCACGAAGGTTTGATAAGCCAGGACGGTCACAGCCACTTCTCCCCCACCGCTCGCAAGGGATATTTTTTCCTTTTTACTAAAAAAGCGCAACCAGCCACTGGGCTGGGAGGAAACCGGAGGCAGCTGAGTCGCAGCCCCGGAGCCCTGACTCAGGCGGGCGGGGGGAGAGTGACACGGCTTTCTCACAACCTCCATCCCCAGACCTATCCCAGCCCCGAGGGGGACAGCAGGCATGCAAGGGCACCCCAAAAACCCATGACCCGCTTGGCCGGGCTGTGGCAGGAGCTGAGCAGATAACAAGGGGAGTCTGGAGAAACCTGTTTTCCCTGCCAAAGTTGATTAATCATCAGCTCTGGCTCAGGGCTGGGTAACACGGTCCAGCACTTTCGTTTCCTTTTCTGCAGTTACTTTTACTTTCCAGCTTCCACCCCAGAGGGACGTGAAACGCAGCTGTTTTGCCGGCGTCTAATCTCGCCGGGACTGCCTGGAGTCAGGTAGAGGTGCAGTAATTCAGCTTTTCTTTTTTTTAATGAAAACATTTCTAGTTCCTATTGCTTGGGCTCACGCCTGGCTTGTAACTCAAGCACACGTCGTAAAACAAAAGGCAGATAAAAAATATCCAGTGTTTATTTGTTTAACCGACAACACAAGCCCCCATGATGTTGAGGGAGCTGGCGTGCTGCTCTTTTGCAAAGCATTTCTTAGCAAAGCTTTTAAACTTTTTTTACAGAGCCACACACGGTCACTGAGCCTGGTTTCCAGCACCAGTCCTCCATACAACAGCAGGAGATGGGGACACATCCCATGCTGAGGACTATGCCAAATTCATGGTCCCAGACAAGATCATTCAGGATTCTTTTTTTAATTGCTGATACCTCTGAAGCTCATTCTTTAAGAATTAAGCCAGGCACCTGCCTTGCACTCCTGAGTTTTCATCCTTTCCGCTGACTCACACTTCTTCACGTCCTCTGCTTCCTTTGAAAGATGCTCAAGGGATTTCTGGAGTTTGACCTGAAAAGAGAAGAAACGGGCCCAGCTCGCCCCAGCAGCACCTGCCGAGCGCCACAGTTTGGCTGGGCCCCCTCTGCCCCGGGACCG